CCTTAACTTCAGAAACAGATTTTACTCTTACTTAATAGGATTTCTTTATGGATACAACTGCTTCACAGATGTGTAGCAATTCATGCCCATACCAAAATAATTTGCCCACCTGAGGTCTAGAAGTTATAGGATTACACCCAAGTATTCTGTGAATGACCACCCTAAAAGCAGACGTAGAATTGTTAAAAAGGCCTTTTAGTGTGAAAGTTTACATATTTTTATTTCTGTCAGCAATTTCACCATATATTTTATATAACCAACAATTTCTATCTACAGTTAGGTTTTTTCCCTGCACCTTCTTTTTCCATTTTGTTCATGTACCATGTGTTCAGACAGCAGTGGTAAGTTCATCAGACTGATGCACATCTGTCAGCCTGCTAGCTTTTCTCTGGTCACAGCACTGAAAGTCTTGAATACAAAAATCTATCTCCACAAAATCTCTTTGTTTCTACTAGACCTACTTAGACTGCAGTGATATCTGCAGCAGCAGTTCAAGTTTTTTATTTCCAAAAAGGGGATAGTGCTAGTATGAAAAACAGGAGTTACAGAAGAGTTGCTGTGAAAGACATATTGAATCTCTGCCCACACAGATGGCTGAGTCAAACAGTACTCTAAAAAAATCCAGTGGTGCTTGACAAATCCTAATTCATGATCAATAAAATCTGTGACACAACAACAGACGCAAAATGTAGCAGTTATCTCATGGGAAGTTGACTGTATTTTCTTAAATTCTTAAAAGAAAAAAAAACCTACCACATTATCTTAGTGTCTCTTTAATGAGAACTCACATAGTCCTAAAAACAACCAACCCTTCCTCACTCCTATTCTCTAAGTCTGTGCTTATAGTTTATACAGGTATTAGTCCCATTGTTAAGATCCAAAATGTTCTACTGATGTTGCACAAGATATATGGTATAGAGAGTCCTTGCTCAGATAATATGGCCCAAACACTAGACCAGACAGGAAGAAGCCCAGAAGCACAAGTAAGAATTCCATTCTTGCTTAGTGCAATCTGCAGGAAATACAGATTTTGAGGGATTTTGGTTGGCAAAGAGAACTGAAGTGGGGTGAAGGTGAATGAAGATAACGTATCAAACCATGAACAATGTGGAAAACGACATCACCAAAAGTTTGTGCTGGTGGAGCAAGAAGAGAAATGGGAAGAGACAGAGCTCATGAAGCTGCCATCAAATGTCACCTCACTTCAGCTTTGCTAAGGATCCTTCCTCTTCCACAAAGAACGATACAGTTCTTCCCAGTCAAGACTACAGTAATGAGCTGTACCTGTTAAATCCAGCTGTCCCATGAAAGCAAAATATATGATTTACAGTGGGACTTGAAGAGGAACAATAACATGCTCAAAGGATTTGTAAAATCCTTTTACTCCCAAGGCTGTCTTCACTTTGCAGCAGCTTCTGACTCTTTAGGAGACAAACTCAACACTCAAAGTTGTGCCAGCTTCTGAAGAAGATACAACCTTCTGTCAGCCTGTCAGGCGGTCTTCGAAGATCTGGGAGAAAATCTATTGGATGAATGATGAGTCCTTCATTCTGGACTCGTCACGATTTCAGTACTGCAACCAATAGGTATCAGCAAATTAGCAGAAAATAAATGAGCTGGGAGTACAGTACAAGACCTGGCTGTGTCCTAATCAGAGAGAAAGCTACTTATAAGCATTAGTAAATGCTCTAAACTTGGGGCTCAGAAGAATTTTCTGGGATCTCTACAATATCATTACTTTCCAGATGATGCTTGCCTCTAGACAACTGGAAGGTTTTCACTGGTGTCATTGAAGATACAAGTAACACGGTAAAATCTTAACAGAATTTTGTTAAAAATGGAAAAAAGTAGCTGCAACTCTCAAAATCCTTGAGGTGTTCATGCTGCTTTTAGATCACCATGGAAAAGCTATGGATGGATAATGTATATATACATAATTCAGAAATTACAGAGACAGTGAATACCAACACATCCACACACAAAGCAACATTTTACAAAGTGTTTTTCAGGTGGATTGTAAATGTGTGGTCTAAGAATGAAATCTTAATCAGGAATGACAGAAATAAATATGCCTAATTTCAATTCCAATTAAATGTGTAGATAGTACTGGACATACTAGTGCACAGAAAAAAAATACATTCATGAGGTTAGAAATAGCTTTATGCCAAAAAATTGTAATACATTCACAGTGCAAATCCACCGTAGTTCTAATTACACATTTTTAAATATTTCTCACCAGGATGAACTGAATCAGCCCTATAAAAGGCAGAAGAATTTCCAGGAATCTGACACATCAGACAAGAAGGAAGATAAAGAAAGGTGACATATATTACTATTCCAAAGAATACAACTTTCATGAATTACAGGAGTAAAGACTGAACAGAACCCCCGTGATTTATAATTCCCGAGAAGTATCACGGAGATATTTCAATTCCAAGTTGCTTCGATCAGGTAAATAGTTTCTTGCAATAGCCTGAAGTGTGGGTTTCTATCTGTCTAAATTACGTTAAGCGTCAAGTAGAAATGCATCACCCTTTCACAAAAGACTCGTGGTTTTTCAAGATACCAATCTTGTCAAGAAATTCGCTTGGAAGAATTTTAAGATTACAGAGAAAGTATAAAACAAAAGGTTTTAAAGCTATGAAGTCTCCTGAAAGAGGAGACTTCATTTTGTGGGCTGAGAAAGTAACAGGAAGTTAAAATTAGATTCAAATGTATCAGTGTGATGACAGTTTCCTTACAGCGTGTTATTGGAGAGTTATTTCATGCTCTTCAAAATCGTCAGACGATTTCTTTTGAAAATAGAATTCTCCATTAAGTTTTCCAGCTCATAAATGAAACTAAGCCAAATAACTTTTAAAGCCTGGCAATAAAAGCTACCCTAATTTTCAGTAAAACTCAATTTCTGACACACATCTGGAAGTAGGACTGCTCCAGGCAAAGACCTGGAACAAAGAGTGTCCTTGGATTGGCCCTGCACAGTAGCACTGCAAATCTACAGTGAAAGTAACTCAGCAAATCACAACTCTCACACTCTTTTAGATAACTGTGCATGACCTAACAAAGTCCTTTAAGATCTTAAATGTCCCACGAAACCTCATAAACAGAGCATTCACTACAGCAACAAGTGAAGCACAGCCTGTATGGAGTCGTCACTATTTTGTACGTGTAAAACCCACATCACTGCATGTCTAAGCAAGCTGGAGCTGCTGCTTTTCCTAGACATGACCTCAAAGCCTCTGCCTAGGGGCAGCCTAGCAGGGTTGTTACAATGGGGTGACAAGCCTAACAGCCACTTCATTCATCCTAATGGTTTGCTCTCCCCTCTCACAACCCAAGATGCAACTGGTACTAGAAAACAACCAAAAAACTAAGATTTGGGGTCTAGATTTGATAGTAACAAGGGTGCAGAATAAAATTAAATCCATGTTCCTTACTTTTACTAATCAATTTTTAAAATCTTTCTATCTCCCCCTAGTGGCCCCAATACTTTCTTAGAAGGTACACAAGAAGAAGAATCATACTGATCTCCAGATGTTCCCACTTCCTGAGAAAAATGTAGTTATTAGCCTATTTTCATCCTCATTTGGGGTGTGCACGAATAAGGAAGAACAAACTTTACCAAAATATCCAGATGCTCATAAATCAAAAAATTCTTAAAATATTTTAGAAAACATTTCTTAGAACCAGGTGTTTAGATCTTCAAAAGGACTTTCCTGGAAATCTGAAGCTTTCTTTGGACACTCAAGACAGTATTGCTGAAAGCATGATACCACCATAATTTCCCTCATTTTTGACTTTTTGGAATTCCTGGGTCTGATCAGCTGTCATTTCATTTCAGCTAAATGAAAAAGTACATGTAGTGCACAGTACTACAGCAACACACCAGTCCTCAGATACAGATGTTTTCTAGCATTAATAACTACTGCTTCCTGAACATTCATTATTAAATTAATATTAAGTTGCAAAAAACCCATTGTTCTTCAATGTGTTAAATGTATGTATATATGTATATGAAATTTACTTCTGAATAACAGACTATTAAAAAAAGAACTCAAAACCCCATCAAACAAACAACCAAAGAGCTTGCACTCCAGCTTAAGAAGTGGAAAAGATTCAGGCCTCACCTAAACCATTCATATAGAAATCATTTATGGGAGAGAAGCTGGTTTTCCTCAGAAAAATGAAACACAAAACACACAACAGTAAAATTAAATAATTCTGTTGGATTTTAAAAGTTACACAAAGATCATACTCTGAAAAAAACTTCAGCTGCTGGAAACAAAATAAGATACACCTTTAAATCAAGAAAAGCATTTTATTTTCTCTGATGAAAATTCACTATGATATATTATATAAAGACTTACAGATAGACTAATTTCTATCACTTTAGGAATTTCAATTATTATCTTAAATACCTACATATTATTCTTGTTATAATTGGAAAAAGTCACTACAGATGTAGAAAAAGCACTTCAGTCCTGGTCCCACATATGTCAGGGTAGGCAAGAGAGGTAAAGGTGTAGAGCATTACCTCTAGAAAATCAGAATTATTTCACTGCTATTTAAAAAATCCTAAAACAGAACATGCATGTTTGTACAAACACACTCTGGAATTATATGTTGACATTTACAAAATGGAAAGTATGATCAGTTTTGTGAACTTGATAGAATCAAAGCAATGAATCTGATTTATGCAGGTTAAATTGCTGCTTTACATTTAGTAAAAAATACATATATAACCTAATGATGTCATCCTGTTGCTTATATATGTTGTGTATATATGTGTAGGGTGACAGTGCATTTGAAGGTATTGTATTGAAAAGCTAATCTGAATTGCATGCAGACCTAAAAAAAAAAAAAAAATTGGTACAAACATCCCCTTGTAACATGTGAATGAATTCTGCTTCCATTCAGTTTCTATTTTACATTTTGTAAAGTAGTTGGAGCTGGCTCATGTGCTTGATCTGGTTACCTGTGAGACATTTGGGAGATTTTACCTGTCCAACCAAGCCAGAAGACTTTTAGCTGCTCCAATCAGATCCACTACTGATGTCAGAAAATCATT